GTTCGCTGAGTTGCACATGCAGCGTTAATAGGTGGGCATGCCATGATGTAGGAGACTTCCATTTGTTGTTCTAGGTAAACTCTGAGTTAATCTTGTACTTGACATCAATGTCAATGTCAAAAAACACCCAGAAGTGTTCAGAATAATAGGCCCGGGATATAGAACAACATTCGTGCTGCTTCTCTGCTACAGTGCGACAGCTGAAGCAAAAGGAATCCCGGGGGGTGGAAGGGGGCGGGGGGAATGTCTTGCAAAGATCACAAAGTATCTTTCTATTTCAAGAAAGTGGCAAAGGAAAGCACACTCTTGAAATACACTATTTGTGCCTCCTAATTATTATCTTCAAGTAGGCTCCCCCTGGTGGGGATGAAAAGGGTGCGCTCTGAAAAGTGAGAGCCCGAAATGGTATTCTGATTCTTGCCCTATTTCACTTTTCACCCTAATTGCAGACTAGCACCGGGCATGCTTTCAGCTCATTATTCTCTACAGAGGCCTGCTAATGGTATTTCATCTACTGCCTAATTCTATGGCTTTAACATGGAAAAATTCCTTTCAAATTCAATACTGATGAGAGCAAACAGTAGGTCTGCCTCTCTGCTTTTTGTTTAGCTGTTCAGTAACTGGATAAACATTAACCAGCTGGATAGTGCAATTATAATGTTTTTTAAGGTACTGTAAATGCTTGCAACAGCATAGTATCTGGCAGCCTCACAAATATTAATGAATGCATTCTTGTTCCACTCACACTATTAAAAGTGATTAAGTACTTTCACAGAGGTCATGCAGAAAATGAATGGCAGAACCAAGCACTGAGGAAAAGCCAAAGTTTTTTTGCTTAGAGATACTTTTTAAGATATCCCACAGCACAAACATAAATAAGCAGAAGAAATAAAATTAGCAAAAGAATTGGCATTAGGCACTAATTATTTACTAGGAGCCTGAATGTACTTAGACATCATTTCCAATGAGCTYAGCAAACAGCTTGCTCAACAAAATCAGGAGTAGGGGTTTAGGATTTGGATTAAAAACACAGAAAAAAAGTAAACACTAATATCCCCCTCTAGGGAAATCATCTCYACTAATTATTTGTCTACAGCTTTCCTCAATATTGCTGTCTAAACTGCATTTGTAAACATGGCTTCATTGTTCTGTAACAAGTAATTCATGCACTTTTAGGAATTTCTTGCTAAAACGTATTAGATGAAACTAAAGTTTTGAGTTACTATTAACTCTCTGTGGAAAGGAGAGTCTGTACCAATAATAAGGGAAAGGTAAATATTTGGAGACAAATATATGGGAATATCTCTACTCTCACRTAGGAAAGTCTCTGTTAATTGTGTTAGCTCTAAAGCTAACAAAGTCATCAAACACAATGGCTGAGACCGTTATTGCAACAATTTTCAAAYGCTGAAAGCTATTAAGAAGTGTAATCAAATGGTACCCTGAATGTAAGAAACTTTTTTTTTGCTCTTAAGCTTCTAAGTTCCATGCATTTTTATGCAAAATATATTTTTTACATCATTCACAAATGCCTTGGCCTCTGGGTATTTTTGCTATGTTTTAAAAAATGCATGCATAAACAAAGGCAAATACAAACCAATTTGTATTTTCTGAGATGCTTTTAGCTTTGATTGCAGTTTAAGGTTGYTTTTTATTTGTGTGTTAAAGTTATGTATTTTTTGTTTGTGTTCAGTTGTGACTGGAAATCTTTACATGTGCTTCTTATTCAAAATACCAAGGCACAAATGCTGTAAGAAGATTTTCAGCTTTTTCTTACATTGTCTGGAGGGGAAAAGRAGTGTAAGTACTTAGGATAAGTATAAGCACCTCCTTGGCAAGTATTTATGTTGACACATGCCAGCAAAGTCTCACAGATTGTTGTTCTCAAAACCAGTAACCACACCAAAATGTTCTGGTTCTTCCTCTGTTTGGGACACGCTATCTCCTTTTTAGTGGTTTCATTTATTTAAGGTATTTTTCTTTTTTTTTTTTTTGTGTGGTCTTTTTTTTTTTTTTTTTTTTGTGTGGGATTTTGAGGAGTCTTAAAGATGACAGTGTCATAAACACACTTTTCGTGTAGAAAGGTATTTTTAACAAAAAATGGTCAATTATATATTTGTTAAGAATGATCATCATCTAGGATTGARCAAGTTATGAACAGGAGGAAACTCCTATGAAGTTACATGCGGGGTTTTGTTCTAATTTTCATTTGTTTGTAGTAAAAAAATTATTAATCAAAATGAAATTTCTCTCACTCTCCATCAGATACTGTAGCAGCTCACCACAGGCCRTTCATGTCTTTAWTGGCCATGACTTCTTGGTATGGAAYACAGAGATTCTGCTTCCTCCTGTTCCAGGTTACATTTATCCTGCCATTCACTTGTACTCTTGTTAGACTACACTTTTGTAATGTTTTAGRAATTATAGACTCATAATGAATTCTGCTTTCAGCAGAAGGGCCAGGACCAGGAATGGAAGGGTGCAAAATTCCTCATTAAGTCTGTCAAGGCTGAAGATACCTTCAGCTGGGGTTCAGCTGTGCAGGGCACAGCAAAGGAAAGAAATGTAGAAGTATCAGCTATCTGTTCTGAAATAAAAAAGATGACAGACCAGGGCTGTAATGTTCCTCAGCACAGCCACTCAAAAAGTCCTCTCCAGATTGACCTCAGAGACATGTTCCCAGCCTGTGACAGAACCCAAAATAATTCTTACAGTTGCTTGTGAAATGGTACCAAGGAGCTACAGGGAACCAGAACTTGAGCCTAAGACACATACAGAGATTCTCCTTTTCTAAAGAAATTGATGTATTGTTTTATCCATGTTAAAATGTATTTGTCCAAAGTAAAAATATAATTGCAGTACATAGCATCATTTTCAATAGTTATGCAGACAAAATGTATGGAAAATAAAATTGCATTTATGGCTATGCATTGTAAAACGTATCAGTGTTAGCTACAAATATGTTTGACGTAAGTTTTCAGTACTAAAAATACTTCAAATTGTCTTAAATTGGTAGACAATAAAACACAGGAAAAGTACATCCTATATGATAATTTGGAGTCAGTTTTTTTCCTGCTGCACTGTTCTTATTGTGATCTTGGATACAGCTGGGAGGAAGAGAAGGAGGAGGAGAATAGGGAGGAGGAGAAGGAGATAGAGAATTACATGTAGAGAACCAGAACAAATGGGGGTTTCAGGGCACTGACCCTCACAGAATTCCTTGTAGTTTGTACAGAAGCTTTTGCCCTCTTCCACTGTGCACTCCAGAGGCACCTTCCTTCTRATTCAGCATGAGAAAGGGAGCACCTCTTTCCTTGTCCCTTTTCATTTGCATYTCCCAAAAACAAAGCAGGAAGAGGAGACTTTCATAACTCCCAGGTGTGCAGTCTTGTAGGAGTCTCTGAATGAAATCTAATGCACAACAGGTTTCTGTAACTAGCCAAATAACACCTACTGCTGCATACTGAATGAGGACAAACAAGGTACCACAGGAAAAGCTGATTGTTTCTGACCAGACCAGTGTGYAAACTTTGTACTGGGACAGTCCAGCCCCACAGGTGGAAATGGTTGCTGCTGCACTGGACAAATTCTGCAGTCATTATGTGGACCTTGTTGAGAAGTGAAASAAATAAAATTGAATAAAAGTCATAGAAACGGAGAGAAACCATTTTTTTTCCTGCAGGTCTTGCAGTTTGTTCCTCTGAAGTTCCTTTTCTATCTAATCCAAAAGGTGGACAAAGTTCATTACAGCATTAGCAATCTAAAATCAAGTCTCACTGAGACTAATTTGCATGAATAATGAAAGCAGTTTTCAAATGTGGTATTATATACATTTTTAATAAGTAAATGCTGACATTTTGATTTTTCTGGGGCACTACCTATGACCCTCTTGGCTTTGTTTCATGCTTTGAAGTTCTAGCTAGTAACCAGCTGGAAAAGGGTTTAGAGCTGCCTGACTGCTGTGGAAGCAACTGAGGCRGTTACTTAGGACTGAAAATTATTTCGTCTGTCAAGCAATCAGGGGGATACTTTCAGAATAATTAATCAAAACCACACCTCTGGACAGACAGGACATGGAGACTTAGACCACTGATTTTTGTGCCCCTGCCCTGRTGAGCMGAAGGGCCTCAACAGCCCAWTGTTGACTTTCCACCAATCTCAGGMTGWCATTGCCATCATTCAGGTCCAGTGACATTGATTTGTCTGGACTGCTTGATGAGTGAGCAAGGCAAAGAAAAACCCCAGTTTACATTTTTACAATAAAACAGGTTTTCCAGACAAATCCAGTGAAGATGGGCCTGACTCTCAGCCACCTGAAAACGCCATCCAAAGGCTTTTTGTTTTCCAAAACACCATCCAGCCAGGCAGACCAGAACCCACATTATGATTTTTAAGTTATTCATCATCATCCTCATTCCTGATGCACTTGTGCATGACAAACTGGGGGTGCCCCATTCCTCCAGCTATTTGGGAGGCTGCTCCACTGCAGCTCCCTTGTCCTGATGGAAACATGGAAGGCTCATTGGGCGAGACCTTAACATTCCCATCTGCAAGCATAAATAAATAATAGAATAAATCCAGAAGAAAACAAGGTGGGGTTTTTTTTTGTTTGTTTTTTGCCCAGATACTTCTAGTGCATTATCAGGGGTACAAAACACAAGCATACCCAGGCAGCTCCAAGCAGAAGGCCCTCACAGCGCTGCTGGGCACAAGTGTTTTGGCAGGTGGATGTGTTTGGGCAGGGGAACAGAGTAGGGCCATCTTTTTTTCCGTGCCATGGGGCAGAATTGTGGCATCCACGTGGGCTTTTAAAAATAGCTTTGTCTCTGCCAAGGCAGCAGCAGCATGTGGGTGGGTGCGCCCGGCTGCAGCCGGACTTCACCCTCGCACCAAAGCCGCCGCGCTCCCAGGGGTGGGGATGGAAAGTGGGGCCCGCGGGTGGGCGGGGTGTGTACGTGTGTCTATGCGTGTGAAACTGCTACTTTTAAATACACATATTTGTTTTTATTCCCTCGKGAAGACTGGGGCGGGCTTTTTCCCCTCAGGATCTTGAGATCCCTGCGCTCCTTCCCCCGCCCCCCGGCAGGGGAGACGGGCGGCCGCCGTACCTGGCGCCCTCTGCCCGGGAGGAGCCGCCCCGGCCCCGACGGCACCGGAGCCGAGCAGGTGGGCGCGGAGGGGCGCGGAGCGGGGCTGGGGGATCCCCGGGTCCTCTCACAGCCTCGGTCACAGGGGGGGCAGCCGCAGCCGGCCCTCGGTCGCCGCTGGGGCCGGGTCCGGATCCGGGCTCCCCCCGCGCCGCGGGGCCCAGGCGACTCGGCGGACAAAGTTCGTACCGCGGCTCAGCCCCGGCCCCGGCYCCRGGCAGCGTCCGGCCGGCGGGGCAGCGAGGGCACGGGGTGACCGGGACACCGCTCCCCCCGGGATGCGGGGACTCCCGGCGGCGGAGGAGGAAGCGCGGCGGCAGGTCGGGAACGGGCTGTGCGCTGTGCTGCTCCTGGTTTGTCGAGCAGAGCAACACGGGTTGTTTTCAGGCGGTGGTGGATGGCAAGAACTTTTTTTTTTCCCCCGAGTTCTCGTCCTTGAAGGAGATGTGCTGGAATAGGTCAGCTGAAAAAATGGGGCTGAGCTAAAAGCTCAGGTAAAAGCTACTGTGTATTAAATACTTACGAACATATTGGAGGGTGAATGCTGGAGGAATGTTGGAAAGAAGCTCTTAAGAGTTTAATAGAAATTAGCATGGATAAAATTGAGACTAAAATCTAGTGACTTTCGCATTGGTGCTATTGCAGAGCGGCAGGGAATGTGTTAGTAAAGGGTAGAAAGCAGGTTTTTTATTTCTCTTTGGATATGCTCGAGTTTGCAAGGGCATAGAGATGGTGTTTTATGTGACAGCCCGCATCTCTGGGGTGTGGAGGAGGGTGGGCTTGTGTCACTCAAAAAATTCAGGAGTTTGAGAGTGGGGAGGACACGGGAGACCAGCATGCCTTTGTTTTGCTTGGTTCTGAAAGCACAATGTTATTAAGCAAGATTTCTGAAAGACAGCAAAATAAGTGCGATTTAGGAGAGAAAATATTAATATAAGAAAAGGGTTGATGATTTCCACACAGAACGGTCTCGGGGCAGTCTGGATTGGTGGATTAAAGTCCGCAAGTGCTCCTGCTGATTCAGACAGTGACATATTGCTGAAATYGCGATAGCAGTGATACCTGTTAGCATGCACGCTGCATGAATCAAGTCGTTGAACTGCTTCCTGATAAAATCAGTGTTTTCAGTTTCTCCATCTGTATATCCAGCACAAGTTCCTGTTTATCTAACAACGCGTGTTTGTATAATCAATGTTAACATCTTCAGCTCGCATGCTTTGTGCTGAGAGGCAAGCCACSGGGCAGATGATCAAGGAAATGAATGCAAGTTTATTCCGTGATGGCAGACGGAGCTGGGACGCTTGTTAGGTATGTGTGCGTGGGGATGGTTCCYGTTCACTGCGTGAACCTGTGACCCAAAACAGTGTCCCGGCTGCAATGCGCAGGCGGTGCAGACGCTGCTGCCACCCACGGCTCTCACGGGACATTGCCCTGCGTGCAGTGGAAAGGCTGAGTCTGCTTTGCTGTCASGTACCGGCTTCCATGTGCAAGATAACATATGAGAAGCTCTGTGTGGGACCCTTAAAGCAGATTGTGTAAGTGTGGTTTTTTTAACTGATAGACTGCTTTGGCTGTTTTGCTGTAGATGATGATGACAAAATCTGKGTTAGACTCATAACCAGAAAAACTCTGTGGGAGTTGTTTTTTTTTTCTGTAGAAGATGCGGGTTAGGGAATAGGGCTTGCAATTTAAGTGTGAAACTTTTAAAATCTTTTTTAATCAAGGATATATATTCTCTAAAGACAGGGGTGTGTRAATAGTTTGATCAGCTTTGTATACAGAGGCTTCGGTTGCTTAGGGGCAGATGCAATGCTTAATTCATTAGCTGCAGCGCTCAAGTTATTGCTGGTTTGGATCTATGCCTGAAAATGATTGAGATGCACTTGAAATTCAGATTCTGTTATTGTACTGCACTGGAAAGGGCAACATATGACTGCATTTATCAGATCATTTAGTATTATAAAAACTAACTTCCTCCTTTTTTCTCTCACTCCTACTGCACCTACAAGAGGAAATATAAATGAAGATCCTGTAACCTCTCAATTTCTGTTACTACAGTAGTGAATGTACAGTCAATGTTTGGGCTCTGTACACAATGACTTCTAAATCTGAATTTGCCAAAAGTATTTAAATAGTTGTATTTCAACAGTAAATCAAAACACAGSAGTGTCACATCTCAGCAACCACACCATAAAAGTCAGCAGTGTTTGTTGAATGTCTTAACAGAATCCTAATAGATAACCTTTATACTTAGTAATTTTGTTGCTTGATGAGGTCAGTATTTTGGGGAACACTGTCCTCTGAAAAGAAGTCCTTGAACAGAAAATAATATCTTAGTCATAACAAATAGAAAAATATTTTCACATTTTAAAAGAGAGGCATTAAGAATGCCAAAGCAGAATAACACAATTTACTATTTTATTTCTAAAGTAATTATTAACTTATATTAAGTATTAATATTAATATTTTTTAAATATTTTAGCTCAGAGGAGAAGAAAACAGTGAAAAGACCGACATGAAATCTCTTTGTTAGTCGTAACTCACCTATAAGCATCACATTACTTTTTCAGAAGTATTTGCTTTTGTGGAATCTTTTCTTCTCTGTGCTCTGTGACTGGGACAAGTTCTGGTCAGTCATGCAAAGTAGGAGACTGGACAGACTCAGCCTGGCTTTCTTGCCCTTTRCTTCTGTAAGTTGCTGATCCTGCAGGATAATGAGCATCTGCTGCATTATTATGTGGGTATTTTGTGCAGTTCATTTAAGTTCTAATAAATGAGATCWTAGATGAAAAGTTGAAGCTCTGGGGAAATGATGCTAGGTTCTGCTGTGCCAGAATAAAGATTCCTATCCTCTTCAGAGTGTGTGTGAAATTAGTATCTAACTGGACATAATAATCAAGTACGATAGCCAGTAAAGTCTTTTATCTGGAAGTCTTCAGTACTCACATTACACTGAGTTACCATTGGCTGCTATGCAGTTTTGAGATGCAGCTTTCTGGAATGCCTTTAACACTGTTCTTATAGATCTTCCTCAATTAGTCTGTGTTCTTACACAAAGTAGGTACTGTCTTTGAAAGACTGAAGCTTTCTGAAAACGGGCTTATAGTAGCAAAACCTTAATGGTACTCCACAGTTGCTTTTTTATCTGTGGTCATTCTGCATCAGGGTTGTCTGGTGGTTTCATAGGCAGGATGAACAGAGATATAAAGAGTGCTATATTTGCAAACAGAAAAAAAATGTCCTTGGTGTTTCCAGATTGTAAAGAAAGAAACTATATTTTAAAATAAAATTGTATTTTTTTTAATCTGCCCACCCTAATTTGACTTCTGAGTATCATGGACTCATTCAGTATTACATACAAGAGAGCTGTAAAGCTGCCTTTTGATTGCTTTGAAAGTATGTGAAACAGCTAAAKGATTTTCATAAGGTGCAAAAAGCTTGTTTTCATGCCACAGTAATGGAAACAACAGCTGGAACAGATCTTACTGCCAGAAATATCTCTCTCTCAAATAAGATGGCTCTCTCATGGAGAGCCTAATTATTCTTTATTATTGACCCTGTGTCATCTTTCACCTTTGTTACTAATAGATATATAACTCTCTGTGGTGCTAATGGTGTCACTGTAGCCAGCCCAGACCAATGTAGCAGCTATGCTATAACTACAGTATAAATGCTTAAGTGAAAAGTGGAGAAAAACTGGGCCAAAAGTCCCTCCAAGATCAAGTTCACTAAGCATAACAACAGAAAATTCAGCGTGAAAGCGCTTGTTCAGTCTTGACCCTGCTCTTACAAGTGTCTAAGAAAACTAAACTAAACAAACAGTGTCTGCTCTGCAGCTTCTGTGTAATGGATATTCTGTGTCCTTCCTTTGGACTGGTGGCAATTGCAATGCCTGCCTTGATAAATGGAAGTGTTGGCTAGAAATTGCAGTGCTTCTGCTTCATTCATAAGAGAGGGGTAAAAGGAATGAAGTGAATTAAGAGGTTTAGAGATAGTAACCCCTTTGTGTTGGTCTCTTTCACGAGCCACACACAGGTCTGTAAAGGGCTGCTGTATCATTTAACTTCTTCTAGTTACTATATCATGATTTCCTATTTTTACTGTAAGTAACAAAAAAAAAAAAAAAAAAAAAGAAGATCAAGGAGAACAGAATATGGTACTGGATCACAAAAGAGAACAGAAAATGGTACTGGATCACAAAGGAGTCTCTTTTGGGGTCTTTTGTACCCTATTGTTTTAAAGCTATTATGTTATTGCTTTCTTAACTATTGCATAGTTTTGTGAAGAGAAAAATATGTATGCACCAGCACTACTGATGTGTATAAAATAGTCCTGACAGGTTTTTGGCTGTTGTCTGAGTCAGTAACACTTTTTTTTAAATGCTAAAGAAGAAAATAAATTACACTATATCTGTTCAAAATCTATAGATCTGGTGCATTTGTTGAGTAGACACATAAAGAAAATCATAAGGTGCATAAAAGGCAAGCCAGGCTTACAAACCAGGAAAACAGACTRGGGTTTTAGCAACTTATTTCCATAGGGAATGTTTGCTTCTCCTGAAGATATGCAAATTGCTGTAAAAATGTCTGTCAAATTCTGCCTGGGATTTGGACAGAAAGTTGCTTTGATTGGTCAGCTGTGTGAGTGTGAACAGCTTAACACATRTTGGAGATGTTTCTTCTGTTGCTGCAGATTTTGTTTTTTTAAGTACTTTCAGAGTTAGTCCCTAAAGAACTGATCTCAGTTCTACTGAAAACAAAGAAAAATTTGGCATAAAAAAATAAGAGATGGATTAGTCCCTAGATGAGTAAATTGGCAGAGGGGGTGGAGACTGTCTCTAATGTACTGTGTGAGTGATAGATGTAGGGCCTAACAGGGCATTTAATGCAGAACGAAAGCCTTTTTTAGCCTTGACATGACTAAGTAGCAAGGAAATTATGCAAGAGCGGATTGTACAAAATATTCTTGGATCAAGTGATCATGAGTTTACGTTGACTTAACAGTAGGATAAATGATGCA